AATTAACTAATCGATATGCTTTTGCTACTACAGTGGAACCCTGATTTAACGAAGTGCCAGGGGACTATTAATTTGCCGTAATGTTAACTGAAGAAGGTAAGCCGATTAGATGGCCACGACAGTGTTATTTTTAGCAACATGTATGACTGTTATGGACTGCTAAGATTTTACTGTAGTCGATTATTCACCTTCTGTGGCGTGATGACATTTATTCGTTATATCGGGGTAGATTTACATTCGGGCTTCTAGATTGTGTTCGTTATATCGGATATTTCGTTAAATCGGGATTCTTTTCCATACATTTTATTGTAATTCTGGCCGAGCTGAATAAATTTGTGCCCTAAATCGGGGAATTCGTTAAATCGAGGTTCGTTAAATCGGGGTTCCACTGTAATCATAATTTAATACACGTAGTTACAAAGACAAGGGCTTCTTATTTTTATGTGCATTATACAAAAAGCTAGGTTATCTTAAATACTTATATGTGTCATACCCATTTCTCTTACATTAATATATTACGAATTTTACAACTAATTAAAATACAATAATTAAAAAAATCATTACTATTACCACCAACACCCTTATAATATTACTTTCATAATTACTCAAAATTGTTCCTAAACGTTTGTGAAGATAAGAATGTTACAAATGTTCTATATATCTGTAGGCATACATTTAATACTATATTCTATCTATTTCTTAAATATTTATTCACATTTATTCGGACGTGTATAGTGTATACACACATACGCCCATAATTCAGAAAATAGGAAAACAAAAAAAACAAAAAGATTTCAATTTTGACATCCTAAAATGAATTTTGAAATATTTATTCTTAATCTACGCGAGGCGAAAGGTAAAGGGATTGCCGCTACAAGATAAGGATACAACGTACACTGATTACTTCCTATACCAAAATCAAAAATTACAATTAGAAATTGGATGAGAAAAAGGAAACAAGGAAACTTATTATTATTAACCCCAACCAATCGCCTCTGCAATTTATATTAATCCGCTATAGAATCGTTTCGGAAATTTTGCTAAATATAATTATTCGCTTTCTATGTATGAAGAAAAAGACTGACAAGAAGAACAAGACGATCAATTCAAAATTAAGGTTGTCCAGTTTTCGGACAAGCAAAGGACTCTTTCCAATATTTATTTTGATCGCGCTAGATCAACATATGATAGAGTACACACTGACTACAGTCGTAAACAAACAACCTAATTCGGTCTAATTTTACTTGAATTGATCGCGTCTTCTTACTATACCTCTTCCAAATGACAAATCAACCTAGGGAAAACCTTGCAGTAGACACATGTACGCGTTGCGTACCTATTTTTGTCTTACGCTATATTGTAGGAACATCTATATATACACAAATAATATTGGATAAACATATATATATCCTGTGTGTGTGTGTGTGTTTATAGGTCGACTCCGCAAGATTTCTTGTAACGAGTCTTAACGCTCGAATTATTATTCATCCGCGGAAACAAGGATTTTACATTGATAAGTTGAGTGTAGATTCACGTAGGTGTAAATTCGCGTCGGCAAGATAAAAAAAAAACGATCAAGATAGTCCAAACCAACCTCAACAGCTGATCGTCACACTTAGTCAACGAACTGAAATGAAAACGAGCGCTCAGCTTATCAATCGAGTCCTTGCACCGACCTCATTTTGTCTTTAAATATTAAAAAACTTGCATAATAATTAATCTTGCGAGCTTCATTAAAATTGAGGTTCACCCAAGCAAGTTGGCACCTTCAAGAACTACACGAACTACAGGAATTACATGAACTACAGGAAAGACAAGAACTACAGGAACTACAGCAACTTCAAGAACTACAGCAACTACGAGAACTAGAGGAACTACAAGAACTACAGCAACTACAAGAACTACAGCAACTACAAGAACTACAGCAACTACAAGAACTACAGCAACTACGAGAACTACAGCAACTACAAGAACTACAGCAACTACAGGAACTACAGCAACTACAGGAACTACAGCAACTTCAAGAACTACAGCAACTACAAGAACTACAGCAACTACAAGAACTACAGCAACTACAGCAACTTCAAGAACTACAGCAACTACAAGAACTACAGCAACTACAAGAACTACAGCAACTACGAGAACTACAGCAACTACAAGAACTACAGCAACTACAGGAACTACAGCAACTTCAAGAACTACAGCAACTACAAGAACTACAGCAACTACGAGAACTAGAGGAACTACAAGAACTACAGCAACTACGAGAACTACAGCAACTACAAGAACTACAGCAACTACAATAACTACACGAACTACAGGAACTACAAGAACTACAGCAACTACAATAACTACACGAACTACAGCAACTACAAGTACTACACGAACTACAGCAACTACACGAACTACAGCAACTACAAGAACTACTGACAAGAACTACAAGAACTACAGCAACTACGAGAACTACACGAACTACACGAACTACAGCAACTACAGCAACTACAAGAACTACAGCAACTACGAGAACTACAGCAACTACACGAACTACAGGAACTACAGCAACTACTGACAAGAACTACACGAACTATACGAGCCATACGAACTACAATAACTACAGGAACTACCACAACTACTGAACTACACAAACTGAGTAAAATACTTGAACTATTTACATTTCGTGACGGTATACAAAGTCCTTATGAGGTACTATATTCGTGACGGTAATCATGAAGGTATTACCTCTAATCTTCCGGAAAGGTAATTAAGTTGATTGACTAATATAAATAGAACTGCTCTGTAACTAAGATTTCAAACCATAGTTAATAAAGGGAAATGGTTATGAAGCCCGGCAAACTTCAAAGGAGCAAACAAAGAGGCCAAGATTTATGTTGGAAGGTCCATGACCGTGCACATCTTTTGTTTTGCGCTCATACACTATGCATGAATTACGTAATCGCAACGTTTCTATTGGTTAGTTGCTTGAACACACGTAACCACCTATTGTATTTTGTCAGGTTTTGTGCACGGTCAACCCCCAAAATAGCAAACAAAAACATATAACAAAGAACTTTGCTTTCCCTCTATTAACTATGTCTCAACTACGCTCTTGAGCAAGCTTGTAAGCCAACCAGAAGAGAAACTCTCAAGAATGGAAACGATAAGTTTAGATTAGCCTTATTATAATAAACTTACTGTCAGCGACAAGCCTTGGCTAATCTAAACTTATCGATTCCATTCTCCTCTCCAGTTCCACGAATGATGGACGCCGTGCTTTTAATATTCTAAAAGAAACACAATAAAATAAAAATTATTAAATAATAATAATAATAACAATAATAATAATAAAGAATTTACAGTTAACCTCATTCATGGTAGGAGACATAAAGAGGTTAATTTCAAGCCACTGATTAACCTCACTACAGATTCAGACTTATTGCTAAGAACATTATTTTGTGGCTCGAAAATGTCGCGCGTTGCAACGTGCTAACATGGCAAGAGATATTAGTATGAACACCAAGTGTTAAAAAATGCACATTGCGCGTGCGTAACTAGTGCTAGTCCCAAACCGCGCGCGAGAGGATCAGAGGCAACCTATCTCCCTTTACCAACGTTGTATGGGATTACTGTTTATAATTAATACAACGTACAATTTTGCATACAACGCTTTATGCATTGGAATATTCTGTAATCATTGGCGTTGTTTCTCGTGTCAAATAATGTAAGCTGTTGGAGTCTTTGGGGGTTTTCTGTCTTGGTAACGTGACTTGCCAAATATGGTTGTGAATCCAAAATTTTGAAGGGACCTTCAATTTAAAAAACATGGCTAAACAGCTTATATGTAGAAGTTGGAGATCCAAAGATATGATAGTTTGAAGTATTTCTCAGCAATAGAGTGGTAAGAAGCCCCCCCTTAATCAAAGACTCCTACGAGCCAACACATGAGTAATTATATTTTGTAGCTTACTACATCTTGCAACTAGACATTCAATTTTAGGTATATCATTATTCAAAACGACTTTTATCAGGTTTTACTTCCTAATTAATTTCCTCAGTGTTATGTGTCAAATATGCAATGAGGGAATTAACAAAGCTACATGTTCATTCTGATTGTACTTCTTCACGTTTGTTTTATATTGGACTCCTTGTTTTTAATCTTTCACCAATACATGCAAGATTTCTGGATTTTCACCGTGGCTGCAAGCTTCACAGCTTGTCTCAGGACAGTGTGGTGAATAAAATTTAGCTGTTTTTAGTTTTATTTGTAAAGATTTATTCAGCAAATTACACACCCCATATTATTTTGGTCAGTGAAGCGTTACAGATCTTAGAAACGCCTATCACTGTAATTCTTACCTGCGATCAGGCCCTCCTCTAACCTTGGGGTCTCTCTCCACGTTCCCAGAAAGAAAAGGAAAAGAACGCCTGATCGCAGGTTACTGTAATTCATTCAAAGCGGGCTTATTGAAGCGGCTTGTTTATACACCGAAACTGCCACATATTTGCAAATCATACAAAGACTATGATACAAGTCGGAAAATCCTCTCATGACTGCTAGAGTTGATATCCTACTAGTTTTTCAAACCGGATGAGTAGCTCGTTGACAGGTTAATTACAAGGGGGCGGAATGGCGGCTACAAAGGAATGTCTATAGGCTCCGTCGCCCCTTTCTCTCTCTCCCAGACTTCGCGCGGCTCACTTTCACGGAGGCTATTCATAGGCTAGTGAAATTTGTCCACCAAATACTATAACTTCACTCATTGCTATGCATTCACTTGTTCAAAAATTGAAAATAACTAACCTTCTCCTGCTTTTTTCTACCAGCTTGCAGGTCAAACCGTGCCGGTTAAGGCTGGTGTTATGCATGTAGGACTTTCCACAAATACACATGTAATCCCTCTTCTCTTTTTTTCGTTTCTTTTTTCTTTTCCTTTTTTTTCTAAAAAAAAACACTAGTAAGTAACTGTATTCAGTTTGTCACGAGCGTGATACAAAGAAAAAATCTGAGCCCCCGACGGGATTTGAACCCATGACCTTCCTTCCATACACCGGTCGGATGCTCTTACCACTGAGCTACGGAGTATCTCATGTGGTGAGCGGTCATATACTAGGTTCATATGTGACACACGTCCTGCATACTGCTAGGATCAGCAATGTCGAAAGCGTCATGTGTAGTAATAAATGTAAAGATGTCAAAGATGGTAAAAAACACTGTTGAACATCGGTTGTTGTGCGAATTTTGACGACTTCGCTCCGGTACCTCTTTAATAAAGGGTGAAAATGAATTCGAGCCACACCCACAAAACGAGATTTTGGTACCTTTTAGGGGTTCTTTCCAAAATTTCCAGCGATCACCCCCGTCACTTTTATATGGGAGTCCCACTCACCCCCCCCCCCCCGGAAATGTACCGTACACCATCGAATACAATTTTATCGCCGCAGAAGAGAGCCTCAATTTATGGGCTCTCAAAGTTAAGCTCTTTTCGTGTTACGATCAGAGCTTGATGTGATCACATGAGCTTCACATGTCACCATAAATCTCTTTGTTACCAACATTAAGCTTATGAAATTATAACTTTAATATGGCTGAAGAAACTGCACTTATGTATCCGTCATTAAATGAAAATGATAACGGGACTTTTTGAGCGAATAAATATCAGTCATCTGTCATTTTGGGATTCAACAAATTGTAAAATGTATATTTCAAATAAAAACACTGAGGGAGGTAAAACCACAGCAACAAACCGATGAATTGTGCCGGATCTGTTGTAGACCTGGATCAGTAAATTGTACTCGAGAAAATAAACATTGAACGGCAAACTGATCCTTACGGCTGAGAAAAAAGAACGAAAACAAGAAGCAGAAAAATAAAAAAATATAAAATATAAAATATGTATTTTATTTTTCTGCTTCTTGTTTTCGTTCTTTTTTCTCAGCCGTAAGGATCAGTCTACCGTTCATTGTTTATTTCAAATAAACTCATTTTAGTGATAAGTCAGAGTCAGACTTTATTTGAGTGTCAGTCGCTCTAGCGTGTGATAGATAATGTAAAAGCTTGTGGTAGCTTCCGGGAGGTTTTTAAGGGAGGGAGCACTTCACTTCTCTTTGAGAACTTCTAGTATAATTATTATAAGAGCAATATATAATTATAATAAGGACCTTCCCAGAATCCTTTGCAACTGACAATTTCTCAATGCCAAATAACTTTGTCAATTTGAGGCCCAGAAGGGTGTAGCACCACAAGGTAATAACACTCACCATAAAATAACTCTCATATCAAACTAAGTGTGATGACGTCATTAGTCACGTGACCTCGCCCGAAAATGCATTTTTGTTTACTGTGAGAACAGGTCTCTATCAATTGAAAAACAATCAATGTAGTCAGCAAGACATTGATATGGGGAATTTTGAAATGGCCATTAGACTTCTGGCATTTTAAATTTAAGGGGACTATACACGAGAAGAAAAGAGACATCCTTGGTTCTAGCCAATAACCCATCACATAGCAACAAAAATTTACATGTGGATATATGTTCATGTGAAGTTTACGTTTTTGGCAATGTCGTTGTTATGACGTGATAGGTCACGTGACCAGATCGTTTTTAATATTTTGAATTGCTTTAAAACATTATTATACTCTAATTTATTTCAACTAAATTATAGATATTTAAGTACAATTTTATTATTAAAAAAGACCACTTTAATTTTTTCTGTAAAATAATAAACGGGTGAGGAATACAGTAACATTTGGATTGCCTCCTGTTCAGCAACTTTTCAATTTAAAACTAAAAGCAAACTTTGATGAGAGGTTTGGAAGTATGGCACGTTTTCAGGGTCAAAATTAAAAACTAACTTTTCCCCATTTTCTTACCTGCGAAGTAAAATGTCACGCATTTCCTGTCTTTGAAATAAGACATCGTACATCCCTTTTGACCTACGAAACAATACGTGCCGCTTTCCTTGAATTCCAAAACAAAACATTCCGCGTTTCCTGACTTCTCAAAATATAACGTCCGGCATGTTCTGACTTTCACTGTAATAAATTACCGCATTTGCTGACTAAACGATACAAAATATCCTGTATTTCCTGCTGAACAGCAATTTTACTTCATAATGAAAATTATCTGGTTACAAACTGACATTCGCCTTCATTGCTTCATTCTGATTTGCGAATGCGCATGTTCTGACTTCTCAATTCTACCAGGCGTTCCTTGTCCGTGCAGACCTGGACCCAACAATATTAAAACATGTGACCCCGGGCAACTTTCGCGCCCACTTTCGTCTGACAACACTACGATCACCGCGAGGTTTTAGGCTAATTCCCCGCAAAATATTTAAAGAGAAGCGGCTGATCGTCTTATTCAGACGGCAGAACATCTAGCACCCAGGTCTTCGACGACTTCTGCTGGGCAAGTTTGTCTGCGACAAGTTCTGTTGTGACTGCGAGTGGCACTGAGAATACGGGGGAAGAGGTCGATCAAGCTCCAGCGCCCTCTACCACCTCCACCAGCGAGGACGTCTCACGTGGAGCAGATCGTTTGTTTGCTTGGCGTACAGCAATCAAACGCATCCACCAACGCCACTCGCAGTGACAACAGAACTTGTCGCAGACAAACTTGCCCCAGCAGAAGTCGTCGAAGACCTGGATGCTAGATGTTCTGCCGTCTGAATAAGACGATCAGCCGCTTCTCTTCAAATATTTTGTGGGGAATTAGCCATAACTTTAGTATTAAAACCTCGCGGTGATCGAAGTGTTGTCAGACGAAAGTGAGCACGAAAGTTGCCCGGGGTCACATGTTTTAATATTGTTGGGTCCAGGCCTGCGCGGAGAAGGAACGCCTGGTAGAATTGAGAAGTCAGAACACGCGCATTCACAAATCAGAATGAAGCAATGAAGGCAATGAAGGCGAATGTCAGTTTGTAACCAGATAATTTTCATTATGAAGTAAAATTGCTGTTCAGCAGGAAATACAGGATATTTTGTATCGTTTAGTCAGCAAATGCGGTAATTTATTACAGTGAAAGTCAGAACATGCCGGACTTTATATTTTGAGAAGTCAGGAAACGCGGAATGTTTTGTTTTGGAATTCAAGGAAAGCGGCATGTATTGTTTCGTAGGTCAAAAGGGATGTACGATGTCTTATTTCAAAGACAGGAAATGCGTGACATTTTACTTCGCAGGTAAGAAAATGGGGAAAAGTTAGTTTTTAATTTTGACCCTGAAAACGCGCCATATGGAAGTAAGCCCTTTCTAATTCCGTCGACGGTTTTTCTTCACTTTGGCTCGTTCCAGGCTATAATAGATGCATTTTTTTCCCAAATCGTGACTCGTGAGAGACTGGACATGAGTGAAGTCACCAAAGCGAGGCTCTGTAGGCTTTCGGCTCTGTATTTTGCTCGCTGCTTTTTTGGTGCTTTGAATTCGTACTCAAGACTGTCAAGAGTGGCTAAAATGTTCTTGGATAGTCGACAAGACTATATTTGCCCTTTTATCCGCAAGTGGAGTCATCTACACAGCTAAGTGCTACATTTTATTGCTTCTATAAATCAGCTTAGACAGCTCATATCGACCTAAAAAAGCTTAAGCTTAAGTTTAACTATAAACTAGTATAACCAATGGTTAGGGAGTGCGGGCAATATCGATGGTTGGAGTTCCAGGATTAACAAGAGCCAGAATGGCTTTGAGCTAGCTCGGGCAAATTGCAGGATGTGAGTGGTTGCAAAGCGTTGTGATGCAAAAAACATGATGTCAGTCGGGTATCATGGGTTACATGATGATTTTCAGTGCTGTGGAACTGGCGATAAATAAAATTTTAGCTCACAGCCGTGATCCGTCAATTAAAAAAAGAATGAAAAAAAAGATGAAAGTGAACGATACAGTACAGAAAATGTATTTTCGGCAAACCAGACTGAGCCGTCACAGAGATTGCGTGACGAGCCCAAACAGCCAGACCCGTGACGCCTGCTCCGCGCTAAATATCAAATTCCACAGAGTTTTATTGAGATTTTTAGCCACTCGAAGCTATTTTTGCCTCGGTAATAATTATACATCGATTATTTTGTTATTTTCAAAACGTTTGTGTTGTCTGAGCTTCACATCCAATAAATTATATTATCAGAAAGAATGAAACAAACACTTTACAAAGTAAACTTACAACGTAAACATCAGTCGCCGATGAGTTTTGTAACATCCGAATATGGTACGGTAGCAAATTGCTGCAAATCGTATGACCTTCCCTGTGATCGCGAAGAACTCGGGACACCTTCGTGACAGTTTATTAGACTTTGAAACCCGCAACTCCAGTACAGTTACAACAGTATAATTTTGCTTTACCTCTCATGACTGTTTTGTATTAACTCGTATGCAAATTTTGCCAAGTTTCCCAATGTCATGCTTGGATGAGTACAACCGTGTTTCCTTCCAGTTTTGCTCTTTGATTAAAGATGTTCTGAATCAGTTTTACAATGTAAACGTCAGTGTGGAATCCTGTGTGGAATAGCATTTTCATAACAAGCGAAGCTGCTATAAAGAAAAAAACTCGCGTTTGTTTAAAATAGCCAAAGACAAAGTCCGACGTGTCGAATAATTTGACCTCCCATATTTGGAACATTTCATGTGATCGAAGGTCAAAACACTTGTGATTACATTCCATTCATTCTTGGTGGAAGATTATTAGGAATGTGCCAAGTTCTCGGGTTCATTCTCGGTACTAACATGCCGCGCATGCGTAATAGCAACATTGAGATTAGGATTGCGGGCTTCTCTGCATGGGCGCCCGCAATTACTCAGGTATGACATATGTCCCAACTAGCACAATTTATTGGTTATGACCTGTATTCAATGGTCACTTAAAATGATAAACGAGTATTTGAGGGGTGAAAACATTTGAGCACGCTGACTGAGTTTGCTGACTGTAATTAGATTTCACTGAAAACTCTGAAAGTTCCTCGAATGATCTGGAGAAACTTGATCTACGTCAAAGTTCTCTTGAATGGACTTTTTTCTTTTAATGTACTTTTTTAAAAACCAGTTGCCCTAGAGTTGGGTGGGTGAGCCTGTATTAAACGGTCAACCTGTATTAA